TTTGAACAGTCAATAGTAAATACTTAAACTAATAACAAAACATACTTACAGTAGCTGATTCAGAAGTGCCAGATTGTTATAGCAAAGTCAGAATTACCTCCTCTCCTAGGTTGTCGTCCATATCGTCCATAAAATGCATTGCTGTTCTGTTGTAAGTAATCTTAAAGATTCCTAAATGCATCAAGGCCAAATAGGCCAAATAAAGTTTTTTTCCTTTGCCTAGAAACACACAGCGTCTCCCTGACATGCTGCATCAACACTACTGCTGTTCCTGAAACCACGCCTTCTTTCTTTGCATGAACGTTTGGGCGGCATTATTCAAATATTTTCACATAGTGAGGTAGATATGTGGGGGCGTGTTAGAACGAGCCGTTTTAGGGGGGCGTGGCAGAGTCTTAACTTTTATAAAGAATATCTCTTTGGGTTTGAGACTTTAGTCTTTGCAACTTCAGGGATCTTATCTATGCACAATCAGCTTGTAACACTCCAAAGAGAAAGGAAAACTTGAAACCGCATCATATGACCCCTTTAAAAAATGTGTGTCACTGTTAATGTAAACGAAGATGAGATGACATTCATGGGACACTTTAAAATCTTTAAAGAAGATTTCTGCAGACTGACTGTTGTTTGAAATAGTTTAATGTGTTCACTTGATGTTTGTTTTATAGATCCGTTTACGATGATCAGCCCAATGCACACAAAAGGTTTATGGAGAAACTTGACGCCAGAATACGCAACCATGACAGAGAGATTGAGAAAATGTGCAACTTCCATCATCAGGGATTCGTGGACGCCATCACAGAACTGCTGAAGGTCCGAGCAGATGCTGAGAAGCTGATGGTATGTGGAAATCATATTTAAATTTATTTTAGGGATTAGTAACATATGCATTGATATTATGGAGAAATAATGTATTTTTTAATATATATAAATAATTTATTTTGTCCTGCTAAATGTTGTGGCAGTACCATGGTAGAATAATAGTATCAGGAAAAAAAATAAAATAAGATACACCATTATACTAAACAATGCTGGGTGATATAGAAAATGCACAACATATTCACATTGATTTTGCTCACAATCCAAAATGAAGTGAACATTGCTGTGATTTTGAATCCTGCTGAAAAGCTTTTTATTAATATCTATAGAGTCAATTAAGTGGAATCCATGCAAAATGCTTTATTAGTCCTTGACCTTGTGTGCTGTTTACTGCTTTGTATTTTTATAATGTATATAATGGAAAAAGATTAACTATTATTTATTGTGTTAATTTAGTGAAAAACATTGTGAAAAACTGGCCTTTTAACAAATGATTCACTGTTTTACATTTTTTTGTGTTTTCATCTTTAACCTGTTTGACCATTTTAGACTTTAAGTAGTATTATTATTAAATAGATTGACGAATGTGATCATTAATTAACATCAGAAGGCTGACATAATTATCTCAATATTGTTTCTACGTAATGCTGTTAAAACTGAATGATTACCATCTTAATATATCTTAGTCTTTGTGTGATACATCAAGTTACTGCAAATAATACCATTATGCTACCATGGTACTTTTTGCTAAATTTTTACTTTTTTTGTTAATGTGGCTAATGACTTGTGGGTATTTTGCTCATTTTCAAAACTGGGGTAGTCAAATGCATGTTTATACAGTATCTTATTTTCTATATCTTACTAGACTTATATAAATGTAAGAAGGCCCTGATATACTTCAAGCAATATCGAAAAATAAATAATTTGTACATAATTGGGCCAGAAATAAGTTAATTTAGAGTTCATAGGTTAGATGTTTACCTTAAAGGTCCCATATTGTCAAAACTGAAATTTCCTGGCTTTTTTCATGATAACTGAGGTCTAGGTGCTATGTAACTACCATATAAGTTTCAAAACAGTCAGTCCACAGTAAAATTCATCACCAATCCACAGCAGGCTACAGCATACATGACCCTAGTTACCTGTGGTTGACCTGGCCGTGCTTCACTCAGAAAACAACAGGCCAATCAGAAGAGAGGCTCATAAATATTAATTAGACAGGCCAAAACCGACCTGTTCTCAGCAGAGCTCCTGAGAAAGGAGCTGTAAAAATATATTGAGATGGTTTTTGGTACTTATACCGCAAATATATATTCTTAAGGACATCAAAACCTAAAATAAAACTCCAGAAAGGTGTAAAATATGGGACCTTTAAAAGTCCATAGATATCGACATCAGTTCATATAGCTGCAAACACTTTCTCTGACAAACGAGTTCAGTGAGACTTTTTTTGGTTTGGTCAGGTGACATTCGACATGAATTCCATTGGGCGCAGCTTGTATTCCGTAATTGCATTGGTATTTTAAACTTCTTTTTACCCCTAAGCCACGTGTGAAACTCAGCTCATAGAGAGCCACTGTTCTGCAAAGTTTAGCTCCAACTCCAACGCACCTGCCTGGAAGTTTCTAGCCCTCGTAAAGACTTTGATTAGCTGAATCAGATGTGTTTAACTCTTTAGGACAGTGGCCCTCCAAGAGCCGAGTTTGACACCCCTGCCCTAAACGAAGATGGAAAAAGTCCTTCGCCATGAGTTTAACTGAGGGCTTTTCTCATTTTCCTGCTCACTGGACTTTTCTCAGAGTCATCCCTAGTAAAATGTATACAGTCTTCTCCAATAGAGTATACAGTAGACAATTATATTGCCTTGAAATCGTATTAAGAAAGGTTAAGCACCATTTTCCAGAACAAAGTTTGAAGTAAAATCAAATTTGCATTATTGTTTAGCTATTGATTAATGTTTTGCACTCACTCCCATGGAATGGAGAGATACCCATGGTGTCGAGTTTTTGTTCACGATGGTTCAGTCATTGCGCACGCCAATTCTCTTTAGCTCTCTTTCCACTTCCCAGAGTGAAATATGGTGACCAAACGGCACAGGAGTGGCTCAACCATCCTCATAATTAGACCCACATTATATAAAGCATATTCAGATAACAAGAGAACACATACGGCATCAATGCGGTCGCTGGGCCCTCTTTGTTCGCGAATAAATGAGATTTTTAATAAACTCGAAAAGCGGTTCCTTATTACGATGACCTAATGAGACTTAATATGTGGGAAAGTCTGCGGCCATGGGGTCCCTGCACCTGGGGCACTATACTGGCGCAGTGGTGTGGAGGTCTTCACATTTGATGTTAATCAGCCACCCAGCGTTTGTGTTTAAAAGAAAAAACAAATGTTTAATTACCAGAAAATGCTATCCGCATTTTACCCCAGACAATGAATGGCACATAGAGCTCATTGAAGTTACCAACAAGGGACCAGTGGTCAATTGGGTCATTGACTTGAATTGTTTGACAGAGCCAGAGGAACAACCAAAGTTCAAAAATCCCAAGTAAAATTGAGAAGTTTGTCACAGAATCTGTTAGAAAGGGCTGTCAGAAGCGATTACCGGCCATAAAAGCTCCCCGCTGACCAAAAGTTCAAGTTCCCGCTGCACATTTAATTTGAATTTGCATGCCTTTGTTCTTGACTCCTCATGAAGTATGATCTGATTACAAGGGTGAGCAGTTACAACAGGGAATCGTGGGCTTATTTGTCTAACAAAAGTGATATTATGTTTTAAGGGCCAAGTGAGCGACACCAATCGAAGACTTCAAGACGCCGGACGGGAGGTATGGCACAGTCTGGCTTTGTTAGTTTGTCTGCCGTTAGATGGGCAGAAGAAAAGAATGTCGATTATGGAACAATAGCGCAGAGACGACTGTCTCGTTAATTGAGAGGGCTTCACACTCTTTGACCTTCCCTTATGTAAGGTGACGGCCCAAACGGAGGAGGTCATCCGCTGCCGAATTCAACAGAGGAACATGGCTACCACGGTGGAGAAGTTGCAGCTCTGCATTCCCGGTGAGACGCCGCATTTGCGCAAAAATCTCACCGTGTGACCTGTAACTGCTACATTTTGGTGCTTGTTTCCCAGTGATTTTGTTAGAAGACTATTAAAAACGATCCAGATACCGTAAACGCCAATGTTCCCAGGTTTCTTGTTACAGTAATGAGTCCAGGTGCTCATGTCTTTATATTTTACGGTCTCTCTGACTTCAAACTTGATACGACAGTTCCTAATTGCTTGGACAAACAAATGTTTTGTTTTTACAGTGGTTTAATCAAGAAACCTATTGGATGATTCTGTAGATAAATGCAGTTAGGTTGTGGTTTCTTTGGTCGGTTTCATTTGAAAAGAAATTTAGCAAGTGGTTACAGTTCACTGAATGAAGAAAATGTTTCAGTTTGATTTCTTTTTAATACATGGTCTTCTTTACTTGAAAATCATGCTGTCTTTTGTTTACGTTTCTGCAGTCCTGGAAATGTACAGCAAATTAAAGGAGCAGCTTGAATCGAAAAGGTAACATTACTTATTTGGACTAATGTGAGTTTTTATCTTTATTGCAAATCAGTCATATTCATCAGTGGTGACAAAATAGGTTAGAATCTCTTTAAAAAAATTTTTAAAAATTTTCAGCTCAGAAGTTCAATGAAAGGTGCTGAACAGACAATGATTTTCATCCACCACATGAGATTAAAGTAAATATTATATGAGCTTTTAAGTTGCATTGTAGGTTGAAGGTTTGTACTTTGCGGTCCAAATACAGTATAAAACTATTAAAGGCACAATATGTAAGACACAAGTCAGCAAAATATATAACACTGTTCTAGTGGTTTTTGGATATTTTAATAAAAAAATCTTACATATTGTGCCTTTAATTTAGTGATTTGTTTTCAGCAATAAAAATGAAATAAACACTCAATAAAAAGTAAAAAAAAAAAAAAAAATTACAAAAACACTCAACAAGGCATGTTTATTCTAAATGGTGTCAGTATGTTTAGGAGAAAGGTTCATTTTTAGTTATTGACAAGCCTTACTTTTCCATAAATTAAAGAAAACATTTTCTCGTCATCATGTCTATTTTACATATATGTCTACATATATGTCTATTTAAAAATTCTTTAATAAAATGAATAGACATTTGAATTTTTTATCATTAAAAGCTACCTACTTTATATGTATGTATGTAATGGAAAATTGTAAAAAGAAAATTTGTAATAGTACACTCTAATATATATATATATATATATATA